ACGGGAAGATATGGACATTTGGGGCTACGAAGCAGAAACTATTTTTTCTGTCTGTTCCACTACCGCGTCCTCCTTTAGGAGAATTACTTTTGCAAACTTCGACCCCCCCCCCCTTCAAACTTTCCTCCTCCGCTATGACCCCCTCTTCTTCCATCTTGTTGGAGGTTCCCAGCTTAATACCACTTTTTCTCAAAAAAAACTGCGTTATGGAGGGAGAAGAGGAGGCTGGTCAGAAAACCGCGAAACCTTTTTTGCAACGGGACCGAATAGCGACCTACTCGCCAAGGGGGGTCAGCAAGCTTACCACTGTCTTCTCTCCCCACTAGGCTCAAATCTGTCAGAATTTAAGATATGGAAATCTAGGTGAGGTCCTTAAGGAATCGCCACGAATGGGTCGTGCTATGGGTCGAACCCATCTCTACCAAATGACACTGTTTAGTAGAGAAAGCTAGCGACATTTTTACTCTCTTCCGTGATTATCCCCTGGAATTCGCGGGAGCAAGTTTTTTGAATGGTGGTGCCTACCGCTGAATGCGCCAGCAAAAATATTTGCCGCCAGCAGGGGTCGAACCTGCGACCTTGGGCTTATTAGACCCACGCTCTAACCAGGACTGAAGCTTATGGCGGGCTGATGAACGTAAACACCGCGAGTCGTGAACCGTAACTAATAGATTGCCCTTCTCTTCCAGATTTTGACGTAATTGCAGAATGGAAATCAGTCCTGATAATCTTTGAGAAGTGAGGAACAGTTTCTCTTGATTGTCAGCTGAGATCAAGCTCGGTGAAGGAAAACTAGACACTTTTCGAGGCCACTCTTCAGGGGAGGGGGCATTTTTCTGGTTATCTTGTATTTCTTGTGTTTCCTTTCACCACACACTTCTCACCCTGGTAAGACTTGTAGAGTACTGTCAAGTGTAAACGACAGTTCTGCTACTGGATAGCCTTACAGGAAGTCACAAGTCTCCACGGGAGCGTTCCATGGCAACAAGCAAAATGCCCCCTCTCTGCCGAACTGCGCCTGATTTCTTTCCGCAATCTCAGGACTACTCTCGTTTTCTCGTCGAACTTTGCTACAATGAGTCGCCATCGTGATCTCCGGTGAAAAACTAGACTGCCTAATTGTATGATACTATACACTTGGAATCTCAATGCTTACCAAGGCGCGATTGACGGAAGCGTTCCAGTCGAGCGAGTCGGTTTTTTTTATGGATACGTGGACCGAGACTGTTGGCTATTTTAAACTGAGAGCTGCATGGTTCCTGATGGACTTGTTTGTGGCTCTGCAGAGCTTAGAGGTACATATCGAAACGGTTCATTCATTTAATCGAAGGTTGGTCAAACTTTTCTCTTGGTTTACACTCTCTCTAGTGAACAGCGCTTGAGTGTCCCCCTCAGGAGGGCATACTTGTATTCATCACTTATATTTTCCGTATAAGTAATGTTATGGTAGAAACTCTCTTAGGAAGCCGATGAGCTTGAAAGTCCGTCATTCTCACGGACAGTTCGGTCATAACCCCTTAATACTCTCCAGTTGTATGCCATAGCTAATGGTGGAATTGGCGGGGCAATGGGCGGAGCTGTAGGCTGTCCAGGATATTTGGTGAGTTGAAAGATATTCTCGAACAGGGAGGTAAGTTGGAAGACGTTCCTCGAATGGACTACATTTCAGATTGTTGCAATTAGAGTGCTTTTAGCGATAAGGAACGCGTGGTAGGCGGCTCTTTGAAGGGCTACTTCTTGCAGGAGTAGTGTTTCTCTATCTATAGTGAGGATTAGATGGGGCAGCTAATTAAGCGGTAAGCGGGTCATAGCTAGTTGGCTCAACCGAATTCCGTCATCGCAGCATGCGTCCTACGGCGCCAGTGGTTTCCGCAGCTGCGAGTGCGCGCGCTTGCGTACTCCGAGGGGCTATCGTAAACCTACGCCTATTTGGGTTCATAGACGGCCATGCCTCGTGATTACTCAGTGGTACTGTCTGTCCTCCATACTGCACTCCAATAAGAAAAGAACTACGGTAGCCTCCCTGCCTACGCAAGCGCAGGCAGTCACAGCTGAAGAAACCAATAAATGACGCTTGGGGCTTCATTGCCGAGTTGGATGAGTCGGACCAAGGATAAGTCGGACCGCGATGCCGCGCTTCCGATGTCCGTTACCCCCTAGACCTACTTCACTTATGCGGATTGCTACAGTCTGCAGCATGAGCTGTGTTAGATAAAACTCTAGGAGCTTTGTGAAGTTTTATCAATCACTGCTGAATGGAAACTTTGCAGAGATTCGCCGGACGAGCTGCTCTTCAGTGCTGTAATCCTAATCAACAATGTCCACCATGTTGTAAGTAAATCTTCCTTGAGAAATATTTGGAATTCTGAAGGTGAGAAGCTAAAAGGATGAAGTCTTCCGCCCGTTGATCAGTCCTTTCTTCCGCATGCATTTTACCTCTATCAAGAATTGTAGTGAGATTAAAATGTGAGATTGGCTGTACAGGGACTCACCAGGGGTTAGCCGATGTGCCCGCATGCAGAAGTGTGGTACCTATTTTATGTCTCTGGGGCTTGGAAGGATTGGCTGGTGTCGGAGTCTCGGAGCGCGCACGCGTCAAGCGGCCCCAAGAAGCCATACTGCTGCTGAAATGACGAGGAGAGCCTCTTATGCTATGAGAAAGAAATTTTCTACCTCACTCACTGTACACATCCCTCCATGGAATGGCTCCAGAACACATTCTCTACCCGAGGTTCAAGAGAGGTGACACGCAGAACGATCGATGAACTCGGCAGTGAGGTGCGCCCGGCATTCGGCCTCCTCTCAGATCCCTAATGGGGCAGTTCGGCAAGGGGGTGGGGGACATTCTGCACTTTTTCGACTTCCCATCGACGAGTTGACCCATCTTGACAGCCATTTCGTGATCTTACAAGAGCTGTCAGGTTTTAACATGCTGCTCGACGAACTTGCTCCAGCTTCACAAGAATTCACATGTTTCACCAGCGTCAGAGTTG